AGCAGTTCTCAGAGGGTGGGGGAATGCTTATGATAAATATAAAATAAATACCACTGGGAAACTCAGAAAGCTATCCATGTAAAGAAAATGAGTAGAAAGCCATCAGCTCATGGGGGCTGGTGGGACGCTCTTCTCTGCAGAGCCGCTAGGGAAGATGTTTTATTTCAAAGTCATCAGCTCCCCTGTGCTTCACAGTTTCCATCTTGAAATCCTCTGAGATTTTTCGAAGGAAGACTCCAAAAGCTCTGTTTGACCTCTCTGGTCTCCTTGGTCCCTGATATCAGCATTCTTTAAAAAGTTCTTTGCTGTTAGCTTACCATATTTGATAAGGGAGGAACACATGCAGATATACAGTTTCTAAACAGGTTGAGAACTCCTCATGCATTATGAGATGTAAGTGTTTGCTATGGAGTAAATTTCATATTTAACCTTACCCATGGGTACACCTCCAAGCCTTAGTATGTGCCTTCCTGTAGAACCCTGTACATAGCCTAACTAATCCCCTCACCCACGTCCCAGGTACACAGCATTGTACGTTCCCTCAGGTATATATGATAAAGACCATACCTGAGTTATTTATTTTTAAATCACCACCTGGCTGACATAAGGATGGAATGTTTTGGAATTAATTATAGTGAAAATAATATAAACCCATCCATACCTGTTTGCCTCAAGAAGATGTACAACACGTAACATTTCCTTTCCAGCCTCAGTATCATGCACTAAAGTAACTGGAACCAAGTGGGAGACTCGGGACTTCTCTCGGCCCCATTAGAACTGCCCTTCCAACCTCACTTTTGGAACCTCAGAGGAACAACTAGGCTAGAAGTGCAAGAGCTGTGGGTAGCAGAATTCTCTTAGAGCTGATCTGGAGAACTTTCTTTTTCTTTTTTTTTTTCTTTTGGTGTGTATGTGCATTTTTTAATAGCATCTAGACAAATTTTAAAATGTGCTTGTGGTTTCAGTTCATGAAGGGGAAGCAGAACATGAGCTCAGACCACCAATTGCTTACCCCTTTGTCTCCCCATTTCTTGGAGAAAATTTTGTGAGCACACTCCAAATCCGTCAATATAATAAAGTATCCAACATTTGGGTAAATTATATATTAGCTGCAGCAATTGTTCAGCTTTTAAAAAGAATTTTCCACATGAAAAAATTAAAATTTAGTGCAGTTTGTTCAGTGCCCTACAGCTTTGAAAAATACATCATAACAAAACCAAAAGGGTTTTAGAGAATCCTAACCTCACTTATTCTAATTTTCCTGATTTTTTTTCAACTGGTTCTACTAAAAGGGGGCAAATTGTCACCTTGAGAGATAAAGCCAAAAAGTAATGAAACAGCTAGAGATTTTTAAAAACTTGTTACTTTACCCAGAAATGGCAGATGGTGGCCAAGAAAGCACCTGGGTTCATGTGAGAGGTAGCATTCTCTCTGGCTATTATCACATCAGTTCTGTGATCATTAACAGCCTGGCTATGTTAGGACCTCTGGTCTAGGGGTGGAGACATGAGGCCTTTGACCTCCAAGTCTCTTGGAAACTTTTTAAAAAGAATGTTCACAGGACGTGGGGTCAGGAAATCTGGGTTCCATTCTTAGCTATGCCATGTGGCATGATCTTTAAAGCTACCTAGTCAGAAAATAATATCCCAGAGCCAAAAGGTTCTACAAAGCAACTGTCCTGAACTCCAAAAACATGAAAGTCAATACAAAAGCAAGGAACTCTTCTTGAGTAAACACCCAAGGGACACAGTCATGAAATATCACATGTGATCATGGGTAAGACAGCAAGCAAATAGAAGAAAACACTGTGGAGGGCATTATTAAGTCAACTGACAAACTTCTCTCTTCTTTCCCTCCTCTGTGTTGGGAATTAAACCTGTGGCCTCATAGGTACTAGGCAAATGCTCCACCACTGAGCTACCTCTCCTGCCCCAAATAGGCATTCTATTGTTGTGCCTTTACCTTTTCAGATAACCTTCTCTTGTCCCAACCCCATGACAGGAAGATCTTTGTAATTTATTTGCATTTGTATCATTAGCATTTACTAGACAATCAATGATAGTTTTTGAATAAACAGTGAGTGAATGGATAAGATCAGTTGTGGCTACACAGTCATTTTTCACAAACTACTGATATTTCTCAACTCAATACTGGATACTTTAAGTCAATTGCCCTAGTTAGTTCTAAATAAACAAATAAAATAAGGTAGATGCCAACAGTACCATTTTACAGATTAGTAAACTAACAATTGCACCAAGGTTCCTATCTCCTGATGGAGCTAGAAGCTAAACCAATTTGTATCCCCCTCCCCCAAGTGTCTGTTTTATCAATGTTTGGTGCAGCCTCAGAAAAACAGGTGTGTTCAGTTTTCCTCTCGAAGCGAGTGCCTCTCATTAGCATCCTGAAATCGTGCTGCAAGAGCTTGACATGATCTCATTTTCTTCTGCAGCTTGTCGCTGGTACAAAGTCTGCAGCTGCCGTGGATGGTGGGAAGGCTTTTAACCCGATGAATCGGTAGCTGATCTCTGTGCACCTCCATCACCAGAGTGACACACAGAAGCGCCGGAGACATCCCAGGTCTTTAAGGCACCTTCTTTGTTGCCCTCGAGTCTCACTTTGGCAATTTTCACAACATTAACTTGTCCTTTGGATCGAGACAAAAACCTTCAGTGATCATCACAGGCCTGACTTAGATCAGCTGTAATGGTATCTGCAATTTTTGTCCTTGCTCCACAAAAGCGAAAAAGAAAGCATCGGAATGTTCTAAAGAAGTCCTTGTTGACTATCTAAATAATAAATAATAAAGTACCTATTGAGTTCTAGACAGCTCCCAAGGATACGCACAGATTGGCAAATACTAGAGCTAGAAAAATGGCTCCACTTCCTACTCTTCCAGAGGACCAGTGTTGTTTCCAGCACCCTCTTCAGGGGGCTTACAACCACTGGTAACTTCAGCTCCA